AAATTAGAGCAAGTCAAACTCATGCGCAAAGTCATGGGCAAAAAACATCAAATCTCTATGGGAAGTCTCAATACTTCTATACCAGGTCTCTCTGTGCTGCAAAAATGGGATCTTCTGCTTGGCCTTTCTTGCATCCGCTTTCTGTTTCAGGCAGTAACTTGGGAGGTGAAAGTAGGAGCTTTCGTCCTAGGCAGTTTGAGTATCATCCATCTGACTCTAGCCTAATGGTCTTTGGAACATTAGATGGTGAAGTAATTGTAGTCAACCATGAAAATGGAAAAATTGTTAGTTATATCCCATCGCTAGGAGCAATGAATAGTGTGCTGGGACTCTGTTGGCTCAAGAAGTATCCCTCTAAGGTATGCAATTACTGCCTGGAATGTAGTTATATTCAAGTCATGGCCTATTATTCTTATGTGTATATAGTTAACAGTTAAATTTTTTTCCTTGGGAAATTGTTGCACCTACCAATCCCAGAATGCTGCACATTCTTTTATTGTTTTGTTTTTCTCTCATCATATGCAGTTCTGTCGGGCATAAAATTGTTCAAAGTACAGATACATGGCGTTCAATAGCTAGTAACAGCATGCATTGACAATTGAAGGGAGTATGTAACATTTGAGTTTTCATTTATGGTACTTGATGGGCAATGCATACCACCACAGTATGGGTCGAAGATGGCTCCTAAGTTGAAGGACGACCCGGTTTTATTGTCACCATTCAATATTATGTTGCTAATGTCTTTTATTTTGGAATTAAGTTGCTAATGTATGCTTGGAAGGGCTTCTTAGGTGTGGGAATCCTTTGTGCATTTGATAAATTGAAAAACTTTATCAATAGTCAAATAATTGTTAAATAATTGTTATCGTCATAGACTCATAGTACTGTATCAATTTGTAAAGATTAGACATCTATCTCTCTCCTTATTTCAAAAATTCTAATTCGTACTTGTTTTTTTCCTCATTGAATGTCAGCTAATAGCTGGCTCGGATAATGGTTCATTGAAATTATACGATATCCATCAAATGCAATCAACTATAGCAGGAATATACAGTGGTGCCGGTTCTGTGACCTTTGACGATTTTGACCAATTGACATCTGTTCATGTTAACTTCACGGATGAACTATTACTTGCTAGTGGATACTCGAGAGATGTTGCTTTGTATGACATAAGTAGTGGAAGACGCTTGCAGGTGTTTACTGATATGCATCAGGAGCATATTAATGTAGTAAAGTTTGCAAACCATTCCCCATCTCTTTTTGCCACTTCTTCATTTGATCAGGATGTCAAGATGTGGGATCTAAGACAGAAACCAATACGGCCTTGCTATACCTCTTCAAGCTCTAGGGGTAATGTGATGGTTTGCTTTTCTCCAGATGATCACTATCTTCTTGTGTCAGCTGTTGACAATGAGGTAATTTCTGGATTAGTTTATATTATAGTGTATAATTGGGCTGTCCATGTGTTCTCATGTGCCCCCAAATTCTTCTTGTGGATTAGTTAGAATAGCAGCATATTTTTATTTTCATTTTCCTATAGAGTTAATAGTTTTAGTTGTTTTCTTTATTTAAATAGTATTATTATATTATTATGATGCCTATTCCAAAAGGAGATCATTTGATTTTCGTGGTAGACTTAATATTAGGATTTCACTCGTGATTTAGTCCACCAAGGCCTCATATGTAATGATGGCTACCATAGGTTTTGGTGCACTCCATCAGGCAACTTGTATATAGTTGGATATGTTGGAGGCAGTTACTGTTCGTAACCTTAGGCTTTTGTGTTAGGATAGGAGAAGATATATCTGGATGGAGGAGGTTGATGTAGTCTGTAGATAGGGTTTGTTCTTTAAGATTTATTTATTTATTTATCATCTTGGTATATTTTGTGCAATGATATTTTTGTTATGATACATAATGAAGCTTTACTTGCTGTCCTTCAAGACATTTTAGCATATTCTGAGATTAACTCGTTGATGATGTCAGGTTAGACAACTTCTGGCAGTTGATGGGAGACTTCACTTGAATTTTGAGATAGCCTCTACAGGAAGCTCTCAGAATTACACTCGATCCTATTACATGAATGGAAGGGATTATATCATCAGTGGGAGTTGTGACGAGCATGTAGTTCGCATATGTTGTGCTCAAACAGGGAGGCGCCTGAGGGATATATCTTTGGAGGTACAGCTTTCTGTTTAGATGTTTTATGCCAAAAAAGTACCGCGAAACAGTGGTTTCCTTGTCAGATATAGGTTTAACGTGCCGCCTAGTGGATATGATTACTTTCTTTCTATGTGTGATGCCAAACTCTACTCTTGTTGGGGAGCTTCACGTTGTATTTGAGTGAAGTTATAAGTTGTCATCATCATTGTCAGTTATAAGTTTTAGGAGTCCATGTAGGAAGCAACGTGGCACAGCTTTAGATTCTAAAAGAAGATATAGACAAAAATAGGAGATGAAAGAAACCAGAAATACGGTGAAAGGTAGTGCTTTAACTTGAGATTCCTGAAAGGGGGAAAAGGAATTAAATCTGAAATAGGTATGGGAAAAGATGAAAAGAAGTCTGTTTATCTACTAATTGTGAATGTGTACTAGTTATTTTGAGGACAATAATGAGACAATTTTCTGTTCATATGCAGGGAGGAGGAGGATCTAGGAGTTCTATGTTTGTGCAATCTTTAAGGGGAGATCCTTTCAGAGTGAGTTTCATTCTACTTATCCACTCTTTTGGTCAATCAAGTACTAGTAGAATTATACACATTCACTAATATGGTTAGAAGAGATAGTGTGGGTTATTTCCTTAAAAAGTAAACCCCACAACACGTCAATTTTGTTGTTGTTTTATTTCACTTTATTCACTTGTACGCATATATAAATGTTTCATGAATTCTATATAACTTTATTTGTATGTTGTAACTAATCTTCCAATAACCAATAAATTATTGAAGAATTCTATATATGCTCAGCTTAGTTTGTACTGTAATCTTGCTTGGCTTTTTAAAATCATGCCACAATGATTAATGGGAAACTTAAGAAGCGCACTGTCACATGTCTGCTCACCTTACAAGAGCCCTGTAGCAGTGTGCATGACACAAACTTGATTTGTCCAAGTATTCAAGTGGTGCCAAGGATTAATGGTACCTCCATTATTAATTTAAACATATTTTCTCACAATTTTCCTTGCACCCAGGAATTCAACATGAGTATCTTGGCAGCCTATATGCGTCCACGCTCAAGGTCTGAAATTTTCAAGGTAGGACGCATGCTTCTGGAGTTTTGTTGTTAAAAATGTCATCATGTGAGACACTGAAGTTTTCTGGGTGCAACATTGCAGGTCAATATGCTAGCATCTAGTGACTATGCCAAGGAACACCTTGATGGCCAGCAAGCTTGCCCAACCAATAGTATGGGAGGTTGACGTTTGTACCTTATTTGTAACATATGTATGTATACAACCCTTCTCCTAGGCGAGTGTCTGCAAAGATACAAAAAAGCGAACATCTCCACCAGCAGTTGGGTCCAACAGCCGAGATCAGTAAGTAGGTCTAACGCCAATCCATGTTACCGCATCCGCTGTTCGTATGCTCTCCCTTGCAGGGTTTCGGACCCACTTACTGACCCGATTTGGATTAACTGAACCGGCACATATTTCATCTGTGTTGTTGGATGAGATCCAGTAGTAGGTAGAGATGATACTTTGTGGATGCCTACCTACTTGGGTTCAGCTAAAGAAACAGTCCATTTGCTTTGATCTAGTATAGGTACGTGTAATATGCCATGAAATGTGCTAGCCTTAGCTGGTTAATGGATTGGAGGGTAGTTAGTAGTTGAAGATGGTAGGGAGGGTTTGTTAGTTGTCAGCTGCAAAGTGGCATGGGTGGTTCTCGTTGTAAAAATAAACCAATTATCAGTTGTAACAGAGGCCTTTCAATCTATAAGAATTCTACAGAAAGCATCAGGCTTCCGTGGGTAAGAGTTTCCATTTAACCTGTCTGACTTGGGCTTCCACAGCTTGACTTAACCTGCAAGATCCTTACAAAGGAGGACTTTTTGTTATTTTTGTAAATAATCTGCTATGTCTTAGACCTCTGGCATTTTGTCTTCTTGTAATGTACTCTCTAGGGATGATGAAGTTGGAGTTACTCTTGTTTTTCTGGGGATGGATGCAGGCATGCAGCTCATTAATACATGGCTTGTAATACCCACTTGCAAATGGATATTAACTATTGATGTATTGTGAACCCTAAATGCATCGACGACTGAGAACCACCCACTTGTGTGCTGGTCGCTATATGCCTAGCAAAACCCTAATTATAATCTCAGCGAGATAACCATTCGATTATGTAGGTTTTTTCAGTGTGTTTTGCGTTTGTAGGTACTCCACACTTGGCACATACGGCCAAAACGAGGAAGCTACTAGCAACTTTCACAAATGCAGAAACCGTGTTACACACTTACCTAAACCATGGCTCACTGTCTCACCGACTCACTAAATTATGTGCCAAAAGATCCAACAATCCAGCTGTGAGTACCTTCGCCACATTTATTTTTATTTAATGACCACAACTGTCGACGTACTATAGATATTTTGAAGTTTTTAAAAAAATTTATTTTTATATAAGCGAGATTAGGGTAATCAAATCTGTGATGATCTCAAATGTAAAAAGATAAATACCGTTACTCACTTGAGTTATAAGTCCTTTATAGATATTTTGAAATTGAAAAAGAAAAAGAAAATACATATATATATATATTTTTTTTTGGTCAATAAGAAAATACATATTATAAGTTGAAAAAGAAAAAGAAAATATTATGTAAACTAAAGAGGAAAAAAAGGTGGGATATAAATGTGTTATATATAAGAAAATTAGATTATTTACACTAATATTCTAGACTTTTCATTTTGATAAATAAAATATGACTTAGCCTCTGTCCTTGACAATGACAATGAGGGCATCCAAAGTTCCCGAGTCCACTTCTCTCGCTATTAATACCATATCATACAAAGGCTTGAGCTCTCACACTCCCCCAAGTACACTGCTCAACTGTGACATTTCCTCAGTTCATAACACTTGGGCAAAACCAAAACCAAAACCAGAAACAGAAGCAGAAGATGAAGCTCTACTTTCCACTTCTTCTTCTCTGTTTTCTTCTTCTTGGCTCCTCTTTGATGGATCCAGCCATGGCTCAAGCTAAATCAAGTAAGCCAAGCAAATCTTTTGATCTACTACATTGCTCTTTTTTCTTTCTTTTCTTTTTGCTTGATAATTATTAGCCATGCTAATTATTTTTCCTGACAATTTTGATTAACTTGGCATAAAATGAAAATTGTTAATTTGCAGAATATTGCAGTGACAAGTGCTCATCGAGGTGTGCAGTAGCAGGAGTTCAAGATCGATGCATCAAGTATTGTGGGATATGCTGCGAAGAGTGCAAGTGTGTTCCTTCTGGGACTTATGGCAACAAGCATGAGTGCCCTTGCTACAGAGACAAGAAGAACAAGAAGGGCAAGCCCAAGTGCCCTTGAACGCAACATCATCAACTATTTCAGAGAGAGAGAGAGAGAGAGAGAGATTTGGTTTGAGTGTGAGTGTGAGTGTTAATTTGGTGGTGTTAGTGTTGTAGAAAGTCAGTTTAAAAAATCTATGGTGAGTGTTTTAGTGAGAGAGAGTTGTGGGCTCTGCTTAGCAAGAGTTGGGTGTTGATCATCCTTTGTGTCTTGATGGATCTAGCAGTGGTTTATGTGTGATCGTGATGATTAATGTCCAATGGCCGTTGGATTTGCATAAAATGAATAATATTAGTAGTTATGCCTACTTTTAGTATATGCCTTGAAGAAGTTTGATTATTCATATAAATCTTGAATAAGTGTGTGTTTATTTTGTAAATAATACATTATCAAAACTTGCACGTTTTGTCATCCCAGATTCAACCTTAGGCAAGTTGTCAATTGCTGATATATTAATGGAAGTTGGACACATGTGATGTTGGGAGATGGGATCTTTTACGCACACTTCAAGACGTTGATGGGTAAGTTAAGATACTTCTAGACCCGTAACAGTCTCCTAAGGTTAAGCAAATTCATATTTTGATCCCAAAAATTAAAATCAAAAACTTTTTCTTGACAATAAAATCGAAGACAAGCAAAACAAGGTCCCAAAACATAAGACTGGCTAAACACGTGCTTAGCAATTAGCATATATGCTCATAGCGGCAGGCGTTGGTAGAAGAATCTTTTGGGATTTGAGCAACACAATTAAGAAAACCTTTAACTAGGATCTATATTATTGAATTTGTGGCCATGTATATGTCACATCAGTATTTTAACAAAAAAAATTAATGGAAGTTAACGGTAGAGACCATTTTGATGTGCAGAGGATAACCTTAAGGATCATTAGTGTCATAAAAAAACATTAAGAGCGAAATGTGATAATTTCGTCAACCTCAAAGACCATTCGTGATAAAAAGCTAAGAAGAATAAATCAACGTCGTCAAACTGCAAGGAGTCCTTCAGCCTATGCATTGCTGAAACAGTAATAGATGCCACACAAGAAGAACAAAAGCATCTGGAATTTTAAAATTGGACTGTGCATACACTATGAGCTATGCTGCTCTGCTACCCAATAACCTTTGATTAATGGTTTTGGCCCAGCCCAACCTCCCCAACCAAAGAAACAGCACAGCATGCATTGACAATTGAAGGGAGCGTGCAGCATTTGAATGTTAATAGCTGGCTCAGATAATGGTTCGTTGAAATTATACGATATCCATCAAATGCGATCATGTATAGAAGGAATACACAGTGGTGCCGCAAATAAACATTAGCGTAGTAGTTTAGAATAAATGCTTTCTCAGAGAAGGTCATGGGTTCAAGAGTCAGCATTCGTGTAGTGATGCCGTTTTTGCGACTTTTGACGAGTTCGACAAATTGACATCTGTTGGTGTTAACTACGCGGACGAACTATTTCTTGCTAGTGGATACTCGAGAGATGTTGCTCTGTATGACATAAGTAGTGGAAGACGCTTGCTTGCAGGTGTTTACTGATATGTGCCCCCAAACTCTTCTTGTGGATTAGTTAGAATGGCAGTATCTTTTTTTTTCCTATAGAGTAAATAGTTTTAGTTCTCGTTTTTATTATTATTATGTAATTTAAACATAAAGTTTCTCACAATTTTCCTTGCACCCAGGAATTCAACATGAGTATCTTGGCAGCCTATATGCGTCCTCGCTCGAGGTCTCTGAAAGTTTCATGGTAGGAGTCATGCTTCTGGAGTTATGCTATTAAAAAATGTCATCATGTGAGACGCTAAAGTTTTCTGGGTGCTACATTGCAGGTCAATATGATAGCATCTATTGACTATGCCAAGGAACACCTTGATGGTCAGCAATCTATAGAATTTTATACAGAAACACTACAACCCTGGCATTCCATTTAACCTGTCTGATTTTGGCTTCTTTAGCTTGAGTTAACCTGCAAGATCCTTTGCAAAGGACCTTTTTGCCTTGTTTTTATAAATAATCTGCTTTGCTTTGTACCTATGGCATTTTGTCTTGTTTTAGTGTACTTTTTATGGATGATGAAGTTGCCGTATTTTTCTGATGCAGACATCCAACTCCGCTTATTAAAACATGGCTTATCGTCCTGTCGTGTATTAATTGGTCAGACAGGGAGCGGATGTTTATTAGCTGGGCATTGATGCATTGTGAGTTCTAAAGGAAAAACCCTAATTACAATCTCACTTAGATAACTATTTGATTATGTAGGTTTTTGAGTGTGTTTTGCGTTTGTAGTTGCACTTAAAAATACTCTACACACTTATAACACAAAGCTACTTGGCACATACGGCCAAAACGAGGTGCAGAAACCGTGTGTGGATGGACACACTTACCTGAACCATGGCTCAGTTTCACCGGCTCACTAAATTTGCCAATAGTTTCACTCCAGTTGTAAGTACCTTTGCCAACATTTATTCAATAACCACAACTGCCCACGTACTATATATTGTCTAACAAATATACTAGATTTTTTAGGCATAGAAATTTTGAAGTTTTTCTTACTTTTATTATTTTTAAAATATAATCAATATTGGAAAAAAGAAATCGAACATACGACCCTATATATAGTTATGATCAATTTCATCAGCCTCCCTTTAAGGTTTAGCCGATCTTAAAATCTAATAGTCCAATAAGATAAATTTAACCCACCTCATTTTGAAATCCTTCGTCTATCCTTCACACTATAAATATCATACCATACCAAAGCTTGAGCTCTCACAATCCTCCACACTCCCTCAAGTAACCTGCTCAACTGTGACGTTTCCTTAGTTATTAACACTTCAGGCAAAAGCAAAAGCAGAAGATGAAGCTCTACTTTCCACTTCTTCTTCTTCTTCTCTGTTTTATTCTTCTTAGCTCCTCTTTGATGGATCCAGCCATGGCTCAAGCTAAATCAGGTAATCAAATCCATACCTTTTGACCTTACTTATTTTGCTGTACATTGTTTTTTTATTTTTCCTTTTTGCTGGATAATTAACCATGCTAATTATACATTAAACATGGTATAAAATAACAAATCTAAATGTGCAGGAGATTGCTGCGACAATTGCTCAAAGATGTGTGAAGCAGAAGCAGTTCAAGATCCATGCATCAAGTATGCAGAATGCAAGTGTGTGCCTTCTGGCACTTATGGCAACAAGCAGTGCCCTTGTTACAAGGAGAAGAAGGGCAAGCCCAAGTGTCATAGAACTGAACAATTATTCTGCCTGACAATTTGGATTAACATGGTAGAAAATGAAAATGTTAATTTTGTATTGCAGGATATTGCAGTGACGAGTGTTCAACGAGGTGTGCAGTAGCAGGAGTCCAAGATCGATGCATTGAGTATTGTGGGATATGCTCTGAAGAGTGCAAGTGTGTGCCTTCTGGGAATTATGGCAACAAGCATGAATGCCCTTGCAACAAGAACAAGAAGGGCAAGCACAAGTGCCCTTGAACTGAACAATTATTTTGCCTGACAATTTTGATTAACATGGTAGAAAATGAAAATTTTAATTTTTCATTGCAGGATATTGTAGTGACAAGTGCTCAACGAGGTGTGCAATAGAAGAAGTTCAAGATCGATGCATCAAGTACGTGGGATATGCTCTGCCTGAAGAGTGCCTTCTCAACAAGCATGAATGCCCGTGCAACAAGAACAAGAAGAACAAGATGGATTAATAATGTCTATTGCCAATATCTTTACATTATTAATTATGTTATTATCTTACTAGACTCACGATCATCTGGATTAATAAGGTCTAGTTTTACCAATATCTTATTTTTATTCCAATGTAATTTTGATATGGAGATCAATTTTCAACATAAAGTTGATCTAAATAACTATATTCTAATAAAAATTATAGAGTAATTAAAATGGTTTTCTGGTTATATGCTGTAAATGTAGTTCTCTATATTCTACCATATTAATACTAAGGCTAAAGGTAGAATTTTATTTGATAAATGAGTATTTTATTTGTTCAATTCCTATATAAGGAATTTTATATTTCTTGCAAATCAATTAGGAAGATTTGAAAATAAACGTAGTGGATGACACTCCAAAATGCTCCATTCATGTTAATGAATTATGAGTCCAAGACATTAACACTATAAATACTTTCATTATCAGTTAAATTATCATCAAGATTATAAGGTGCTAAACTAAGCTCTGATACCAAATTCGAAGGGATCCTCATTCTAAAAAAATAAAAGAAGAAAATTACCGAAAAAACAAATATGAAATATGAAAAAACAGAACTCTCTAATATATAATACTCCAACCAAAAAAAAAAAAAAAAAAAAAAGGTAAGGGATGCAAATTGACTCAAAGGTCCAAGTTCAATTTCAGACCCAAAGCACCAAAACGCGACGTTTTGATATTAGCATCCTCCCCTACGGTCCAGAACAAAAGGAAAAATAGGCCCGCCTCTTTCCCCCTCCCTCCCTCTTAATCCCATTTTTCATCTGAACGAAAGCTTCTGCAAAATCTATTCAATTCAACAATGGAGAACCAAGCGGTCCAAGAGGTACCTCTCTCTCTCTCTCTCTCTCTCTCTCTCTCCTTTGGCGTATGTACATTTATGTTTATTAAAAAGAATTGAACTTTGCAATGGTTGATTGTAGATATTGGAGAAGCAATTGCTGACAGTAGCGAAGGCGGTGGAGGAAAAGCTTGACGAGGAGATCGCAGCCCTAGATCGAGTGGACGATGACGATCTGGAGGCGCTCAGAGAGCGGAGGCTTCAGCAGATGAAGAAGATGGCGGAGAAGCGCAGCCGTTGGATCTCCCTCGGCCATGGCGAGTACACCGAGATCCCCTCCGAGAAGGACTTCTTCTCCGCCGTCAAGGCCAGTGACCGCGTCGTCTGCCATTTTTACCGTGAAAATTGGCCCTGCAAGGTATAGTTTACATTTTTTGTTTAATTTCCACTATATAAAATTTCAAACTTTCTGTTTAAGTTATGGTTTTGGGAGGCATTTTTGGGTGTAAGTGTTTAACTGTCTTGTTTTCTGAGATAAAGTGTAAAAATTAGCATATGGGATATTCCAACAATTTTGAAATTTTGATTAGTAGAGAGTGAGGGAAGTAATGTAAGTAGGGGCTGTGCTTCATAATGGGTAAAGTTGGCATTGGTTTAGAGAGAGCAGGATGCGACTTTAGTAAAGAGAGAAACAGTATGAATGGAAACAGGGAGTTGTAGGTGACTCTTTTTAGGTACCCAGTTGATAAGGATCAAATCATAGATCATTGATCTGCATTTGCAGATGAAGTGAATTTCAAACTGTTTTTACATCGTTTTTGTCTATTTGGTTTCAAAACCTGGCATTTATGGTTTCCCTGAGTTGTTTTTCGAAGCTTTTTGTATTTGGGCTTTATTGATTGGAAGCCAAAAGCCATAAACATTGTTCACAAATTTGTGGGGTTTGTTAATTATATCTTAGATGCATGTTGTTGAGGAGAGTTAGTGGTAATTGATGTGAAGGTATTACAACTAAAATGTTTTTGGGGCTTGCATGGGAACTTTGAACAGGTACCTGGTTTGAGTTGCTTATTCCCAAAATGTTTGACCTCCTAGAAGTAGTGGGGGCTTTTAAACAATCTGTTCTAGCTGTTGGAACTATTCAGTAAATTTCCTGGGTTCAATTTAATAATTATATGTATAACTTTTGAAGTTAACTCAACAGTTAGGACAAGTGATCCATATTTACAGTTCATTTGTAGGTGGTGGACAAGCACTTGAGTATACTAGCGAAGCAACACATGGAGACACGTTTTGTGAAGATCAATGCTGAGAAAAGTCCATTCTTAGCAGAGAAGCTGAAGATCGTTGTTCTTCCAACCATTGCCCTTGTTAAGAATGCCAAAGTGGATGATTATGTGGTATGTTATAGGAAGGACATGCACGCACACCATAGGCAAAATTGATAATTTTCTTTTTAACCCCCAATGTCCTCTTGTGCAACAGGTCGGATTCGATGAGCTTGGTGGGAAAGACGACTTCAGCACAGAAGAACTGGAGGAGAGGTTGGCTAAAGCCCAAGTCATCTTCTTTGAGGGTGAATCATCTCTAAAGTCTAGTGGCAAAACCAGGAGTGTCCGGCAAAGCAGCAACGTGGACTCGTCGGATTCAGAGTGAAACTTATCCATTTATTTTGGTTGTTATTGGAAAGTGGAGCTGTTCATCCTTCGCCATTTGTGAACTCACAGCTTCACTGGCTTCGGTGGAATGGCCTAGTTTATGCTTCATTTGAAGTTCAGATGAATTACTTACACTGCCTCTGTTTGTATTATACTCTTGAGATCATCATCTAGGTGGTTTTACATATTAGTGTTTATGCTTGTATCAGAAAGAGAAAACAAAGGTTCTGTGAGCTTCTGCAAAATATGAATTCCCCATTAGGTGGTAAAATTTGGAAATCTTCTTATGGCTTCCCTAGTAATGTTTTGTTTGGTTTCAGCTATGTGGGGTTCTGATTTTTCTTGAGTTTTTCTATTTAAACCCTACACTTTTCTTTGTTTACCCTAACTTCTAATTCAAATTTTCAAAATTTCCAAGCAAATCTCACTATATTTCCAAACTATCCTTAAATACACACCCAGCAAAAATTTAAATAAAATAAAAACTCGTCAACCTCACACCTCACACCCTGCTATCTTGCCCCTCACCACTCTACGTTCACCTCAACCTCACATTACTTAAAAAAATAAAAACACTGTTGTCAAATGTGTAGCAACACTGAGAGATAAGAGTGTAGTAGGTTTCTTGAATTGAAAGATGAGTAATCTAGCAATAGGGTGTAGAAGAGTTTGTGTTTTTCTAAAACTTAATATGAAGAGTGGTGGGGTGTGTGTATAGATATAGTAGGGTTAATATTAAGTTGGATGACCTTTTTTGTCTTTTTACATAATAATAAAACTTAAGAGTTTAATGAATAAGTATTGGGGTAAACAAAGAAAAGTATAGGATTTAAATGAAAAAACTATTTTTCTATACGTCTCATAGAAATTTTCAAAAATAATGGGTTCAAGAAAAATTTGAGGCCCCTTTTCCTTTTCCTTTTTCGTTTGTTTTGGTTTTCTTTTGTATTTTGTAATTATTGTTTGTAAAATGGATAAGAATGGAAGCAGAACGAGGATAAATCTGGATAATTATTACCTATCAACATATCTGCATAATCTACTCTTCTTTATATTTATCTTTTAAGATAAGTCTTTTTATTAGAAATTTCAAGGATTATCATCTTAAAACTAGTCTTAATCCCACCCAGCGAAGGGAAGTTTCTCATCATCAATAACAAAGGTCATCCCTTAATCTTACTTGTACCAAAAAAGAGAGTAAAAAATATTGAATAATTTGATTTAGTTGATAGTCAATTACAAGGTATAGTTTTAAAATTGTGCACAAATTCCCAATGATTTTTTTTTTTTACGGAGTTCAATGCACCAATTCTATTGGAAGTTCAAAGTAATTCTCTAGCAAGAAAACATAAAAGCAAATGCTAATGACAATCGCTCACATTACATGAATAATTGACGGTTGTTCAGGCACGTATTGTTCTAATAAAAAACTTTAAAACTGACTGAAAAGATTTTAAAAAATCAAAAACTTCAAGAACAACATAGATTATATTATAAATCAATCCGAATCCTATGACACAACTTAACTAGCAACATTGGGAAGCCCCATAATCTACAAACATCCACTCAATGGCTAGTGCAGTGCATCAAACACTTCGAACATGCCATCACAGAGCAGATTAACTCTTTTCCTGCGCTAAACTTCCCTACCACAAGGGGCCTAAAAAGCCAAACATACAAGCAATGTACCTAGAAACAACAACAAAAGTCACTCCTAAATTTAAACTGTAGCTTAATTAGCAAACCACAACAAGATTGCTACTACTGTGTTTTGCCTAGCAACAACATCTAAAGACAGAGAGAGGATAGATAATAATGCAACATAGATCAGGAAGCTCCTGC